TCTTGGATTCACTATCAACCTCCTTGATACCAGTAGTCATGAGATCTGGAGACATGTTGAATTGGGAAAATCTACAGTCAGAGACCACTTCTAATTACTTTTGTAATTTTGGAGCAATGATGTCAGCCTGAAAACTAAGGCCTTCTAATTCAAGCCATGATCTTTTCAATAACTTGCTATACATCTGATGACAAAAGGATCATTTATTTATGCCTTTGAATTGTAGTGTTGGAGAAGAGTACTAAACATATTATAGACTGTCAAAAGAACAAACAGAGATGTCTTGAAGAAAGTACAATACAATGCTTCTTGAAGGCAATGATCACAAAGCTTTGTCTCACATATTTTGTGCATATTAAGAAAGGCTTATCTTTAGAAAGGTGGAGGATGTGCAAAAGAGAGGAAGACCCTCAATCAAATTGATTGATAGACTGACTGTTGCAGTAGGCTCAAATATGTGAAAAATGATGGGACTTTCCATTCTACACTCATTACCAATCTGCTGATTCTAACTCATAATGGCCTTCTATCAGATTTCCAAGTGTTCTGCCCACAAAATGCTCCTCAAAGGAAATCCAATTACACTCATGTAAATACAAGAGCATTTATTCTCCAGAAAATTTCACATGGAGACTTTCTCCCTCAGTAGGAAGGTGGCGAGAGAAAAAGCCCTGAGTTGCCCTGCGCAATTGTTTTTAAAGCCTTCCTGGGTGCTACTGTCTGGGCGGGAAGATTGCGAGCATGGTTGGTGGGCCGGGGAATCAGTCATGTGGGTCAGCTTTTGATGGGCTGGCTATTTTGCCTATCTTTACTCTTTTTGTGTCACGTAGACGCTAGTTAATTCTTTACTTTGCAAGGACAGATAAGACTTTACCTGGCACATTTGTGTTTGCTTCAAGCTAAGAATTTTTATGGTCCGCTTCTGCTTCTGGTATTAACGGGTTTTTTTAAAAAAATGGGGTTTATGCTGTCTCCTCACCAAGGATACCAATTTTGATACAAGGAGACTGTGATGTGGTTGGTTATCTCAAACTGCAAACCTTTTGATTAACTTACTATGCCAGCAAATATCCCTGTCCTATATAAATTAAGCTGTTGTTGTTGCCTTCGAGTTGAATACAACTCAGAGCAAACAAAAGATCTGAACTCTCCTCTGTCCTGCGCTATCCTCACATTTTCTCACACACTAGATCCCATTCCATCAGTCACTGTATCAATTCACCTGTTTGAAGGTCGTTCTCTCCTTTGCCGACCCTCCATCCTTCCCAGCATTATGTCCTTCTCCACTAAATAGCCCCTCCTAGCAATATTGTCCAGAGTATGTGAGGTGTAGTCTTATCATTCTTGCCTCCAAAGAGCACTCTGACTGAACTCTCTCCAAGACAAGTCTGCTTGTTCTCTTAGCCATCCATGGGATGTTCAGTGCTCTTTTTCAAGACCACATCTCTACTAATTCATTTTTAATACATATTATCTTATCTTGTTCTTTTCATCATACAAGTATGAAATTATTTACCTTCCTTTTTACCTGTCATTATACGTTGATATATGCTTTATTTGAAGACCATTAATTAGAAGAGCAAAGATATTATTTTCCTAATCTATTAATTTTTCTAATACTAAAAATGATGAGTTTTAAAAAGCCATTTTTAGTTTTATTAGACCAGAATTTTCAGTTTTCAAGGTTAGCAGGCATAATGATAATTATGCCTCATTAATTCGTATATATCATCCATCGTGTTTTATCCTTTCAAAAGCATATTTAATAATAATAATAATCTTATATAAAATATTTATGATAAACTGAAATTTAATCGAACTGGAAATTTTTATTTTTACTTGAGGAAAGGCATAAGAGAAAATCTACTTGTATTTAGAATTTTTATAAAGGTACTTTTAATTTAGGATTTTAAAGTACAGAACAGATATTTTTAAAATTACTGTTATTTGAAATAAACACAAATATGGATTCCTTCTAGTTTGTTGGCCAGGCAGCTGTCTTCAAGATTTGTTAGCATAGATGAATGACCGTCCATAGTGCTACATCCAGTTTTGTTGAAAATTTGTCTGGTGACCTAATTCATAAAACATTGGCATAGCTTCCAGCATCACAGCAAACCATCACAGTATGATAAACCTACAAATGGTGAACCAACCTCCAAAATGGCATTTTCTTTTCTTCAAGAGATGGAGAGTTAACCAAAAAAAAAATAAAAGAGAAAGAATTGACCAAGAAACAAACACGTATACTACAATGTAGAAAATGCTATGACAATGTTGTACACAGAATCCTATACTGAGAAAAGAAAAATCATGTAAGTAAAGTGGAATTTAACCACAGAAAACATCCTTGAGATAGTGTATACTTATCTGGAAGGTCAAATAGATTTTATCCCTGCAAGAAGTTGGGAGAAGTGTACTTTGCTAGAGCCAGGAGAACAGCTGAATGGAAATTCATAGATGCAAAATGTGTAGTAGCTATTCACATGAATTATTTAGAACCACTTGCCTCTGATCAAACATTACACCTTGTTTATAACCTTATTGAGTTATTTTGTTTTCATCATCATTGGTATTGTTCCTACTTTAATGAATTGTTTAACTCAAGCTAGTTGGGTGTGTTTTGTTTTAATTTATTTATTTATTTTTAATTTCACTGAACATCTACAGAGATTTTGAAATTCCATTCATTCATTGTTGCACTTTTCTCCCTGCCCACCCCACCCCCACCCTCCGTTCGCTCCTCTCCATGAAAAGCAAAACGCCTTCATTGGTAGTTTAGTGGATTGTTTATCTCAAACATATAAGGCATTTATACAGTGTATAAAACATGGAAGACTCTGAAAATAGTAGTAATATTTGCATGAGAATAAGAAACAGCCTTATACTTGAGGAACTAGAAGCTCTTTGATATTGGTGAAAAGAAAATAATTGACATTAGCATGAAAGAAGAAAAAGGAACTATGAAGTGTGTGCAAGAGCTGGAAATTGCAAGAGAAATACCATTTAGCTTATGTTTTAAATGTATATCCCTGGGAACACTCTATAAGGTAGAATGTGTACAAAGTGGCACCGAAAGAGTTCAGAAAAGCTGTGAAGAAATCAGATAAAGTTCCATAATACTTGTAAAGATTAAGTATTTTATGGAATTCCTAGATGGTGCACTTAGTCGCTAATTAAGAGTTTTGTAATTTGAGTCTTCCCGGGACTACTGTGAAAGAAAAGCCTGCAGTCTACTTCCAAAATCCAGCCACTTAATTCCCTACAAAATACTGAAAACTCAAAATTACTGCTGTCGAGTTGCTCTCCCCCATAAGTTTTTGAAGCCTGTAAATCACACTGGAGGAGATTGTTCATCTTTACACACACAGGGGTGCAATGAGTCAGTCAACTAAGTGGCAATTTCTGTAAAACATTATCTACTATTTAACAGTAACAACTGGAATTCAAGAATATGATAGTGTCCTTGGGGTTGGGGAGAGACTGAGTAAGATGGGTTCAATAATGTATACTGCACTGAAACAGAGGAGGGAGAAAACTGTTTAAAAGAGATATATAACTAGGTATTTCTGTCATCACAGGAGTCTAGAGCCAGGGCTACATGGTGGAGGGGACCTGGGGGAGGGTTTGTAAAACAATGAAAGAATCTTTTCTTTTACTTTTCCATAATTTTTGACTCATGTACTTATAACTTGTTAGTCAAATTTGTGTCTTCTAGGTTGCAACACCCCCATGAGACATCTTCGAGGATATGAACATGTACGGCCAAGCACAATCAATAAGAGTGCATCTAAATTCCAAAATCAATCTCCATAATAGTCTATGTGTTTCCTACTGCCAAAGGGGCCCTTTAGAGTAGTGAGAGAAGATCTTCACCCTGAAACCCACAGCGTCCCTTTTCAGCAGGAAGTAGCTAAGAGAATACGCCATCCCCTTTTCCTTATCAATCAGGGTGAAGTCTCTCTCAGGGAGGAGTGATAGGGAATGGCAAAGGACACACCAACACAGGAGATTAATCAGAACTGACTTTGACAAGCACTGTGGCAATTGGACAATTAAAACAGACATTCGGATGGTGGGGAAGAAGAACAAACTGGGGAAGAGGATAGAAAGAATGGTGCAGCAATGAAGGAATGAAAACCCAAAATCCCTGTAAATGTTCATTAAAACTAATAAAATTAAATAATAATAATTTAAAAAAAAGAATATGATAGTAGATATATTTAAAAAGTATCATTGACAGGGCTTGCTTGTCCCTAAACTAGAAGAACCAAATTGAACAAACCACTTGCAGTCCAGTAACTTGTGACTCCTGATAACCACTTGTGCTGCTTAGAGTTTACCAGGACGTGACCTTTTCGCATCTTTTTGGTTAGTGGGTGGATGCTTGCCAATTGATTTGCACCACCCTTTACAATTGTTCTTGTTAGGTGCTAGCCTTTTGACTCCAACTCAGAGAATCCACATACAACAGAACAAATTTCCCCTGTGCTTAAGCCCATTGTTTTAGTCATAGTGTCAGTCCACCTCCTTGATGGTGTTCCACTCCTTCACTGACCCTCAACTTTTCCAAGTATATACTTTTCTAGGGGTTAGCTCCTCTTCAAAACATGTGAGATGAAGTCTAATGATCTTAATTGGTAATATATAACAAGGGATTATAATTGAACATGGTTCTCAAGAAAGCAAGTCTAACTTTAGTCCAAAAGAAATTGACTACTTTTTGGTTTATTCATATGACTACGTGAAAAAAATCATTTTTATATAGGTGACCTACGTATGTTATTTTGTAGGTAAATGGCAAACTGTTTTCTACTAAATAAAAATATATAGCTGTATTCCAGGGTAACATATTTTTTTAAAAAAATTCATTAATCTGAAATCTAATTTTATTTGTACATTTAAAAATAGTATTTTCTTCTTCTGTTAGTTAATTTTGTAAGTTATAAAAAAATCTGAAAATACAATGCTTAATTTAATTTTATTATATTCTGAATTAGCATGGGCATTAATCATGACAATGACCACCCATCATGTGCTGATGGTCTTCATATCATGTCTGGTGAATGGATTAAAGGACAAAATCTGGGTGATGTTTCCTGGTCTCCGTGTAGCAAGGAAGATCTGGAAAGATTTCTCAGGTACTTGATGTCACTAACTATAGTTGCACTGTGAATTTTTTTGTTGTGCCTGCTTCCTCTGTTATTCAGGAAAAGTAATGTGATGGAATGAAAAGGACACAAGAAATGAAATGAGATTAAGTCACTTGGTTTCAAATCTTGGTTCATGTACTGAATTATGGTGTGACTAAGGACACATTTTCCTAACTCATCTGCCTCTTGATTTGCACATTTTTAAAATGGTTTTTGAGGTATAAAGGTATTTTTTTTTAAAAAAAATCTGTAACTGCATTTATTTGCCTTTCCAATATCTCCTTGTCAAAATGTAGTCATTTGTCATCACTGCACACAACTGTTATCACAAGGAAAATCTTGAACAAAATATTTCTCTTTTCCTGAGGTGCTTCCAAACTCTTTGCCGTTATTAAAGCCACCTTTTCTTCTCTTTGCCACCTATAATAACATCTAACTTCTGTGTCATTGGAGATAGCAGTGATAAATACTATTGCTCTAATTTTTTTGTGTGTTTTCTTTGGGTGTCTGTTGGAAATCAAAGCTGAAAAAATAGGTGGCAGGTAAAGGAACTATAGAATGAGAGAGATGGAGTCTTCAAGTATTGTAGTTGTTGTTGTTGATGTTGTTGTGTGCCATAGTCAGAACCGACCCATAGCTGACCCTCCAGAGGGTTTTCAGAAGTAGTTAATTGCACAGGAGGAGAGTGCCCATCTCTCTCCAGTGGAGCAGCTGGTGGCCTAGAACCTCATGCTTTTGGGATTGCAGCACAGCTCTTGCCACTAGTCCATCTGAGCTCTCCAATTAAATAAGAATTATATGACAGTTAGCTATATAAATTCACGACACAGACAAACATTACTAATTTTATTAACATAAATTCAAATGAAAAACTGGGCTACCCTCTAAAACCCACTGCTTCTGTGTTGATTCTGACTCATAGTGACCGCTTAGGAAAGAGTAAAACTGTCTTGAATGGAAATAGACTGCTTCATGTTTCTCCCGTGGAGCAACTGGCGAGTTTGTACTGCTCTAACAGGTGTACCACCAGTGCTGCTTTTTCCTATGAAATGGATATTAAAATTTGTTAAAATGAGATGTTTAGGGGAGCTCTGGTGGCCTAATGGCAAGGAGCTGCAACTACAATCCCAGAGGCACACGGTTCGAATCCACCAGATGCTCTGCTGGGAAAAGGAGGGACAATCTCCTCCTATACCAGTTAGATCTGATTTGACGGTACACACACACAAAAATTTAAAAAAAAAAAAATGAGATGTTTATTTTATTACCGTACGTTCATACTGAAATTAATGCAGGATATATTGTGCATGTTTTTTGCCATGGTATTTGAGAGTATTACACACTCTCAGAGTATATAGTATTTGAACATAACACTTTTTTACACAATTACCGTTCAATTAATCTGAATGAGTTTATAAGAAAAATATATGGCACTGTATGACTGTGCATGTGATTTGGAACTCTGTCTAAATTGAATGTCACATCATAATTAGAATTTTTATTACAAACCAATCAATGCCAACTACAAAAAATATCTTTTCTATTAATGCCTAAAATGTTTTGCATACAGTTTTTAAATCTTTGGCTATATGTACCTTCTAACATTCACACCTTTCTTTAGGCAAATTAATCTCTCCTGAGTTTCTTCGTCTAATTCATGAAATAAAACTTATTTCAGTTCACATATTCTACAATCATCTTTGTTTAAAGGACATGCTAAACTATTAAACTAAAAAAATTTCATTCACTTGAGAGTTATTGCTATTTATAATTTCTTGAATAATTATTATAAACTATTCTCATCTGGAAAATAATTAGCACCCACTAGTACAACTTACCAGAATAAGAACATATTTGTTAACATTTCAAATATTTCTCGTTGATATATTATCTAATCATAGTAATTTTTTTAATATTAAAATGTTCTGCCTGTCTACATATTGCCAGGTCAAAGGCGAGTAACTGCTTACTACAAACAAATCCCCAGAATGTCAATGCTGTGATGGTCCCCTCCAAACTACCGGGGATGGCATACACTGCTGATGAGCAGTGCCAGATTCTCTTTGGGCCTCTGGCTTCTTTTTGTCAAGAGATGCAGGTAAGGGTCACATCAGGGTGAGGTTGTTTATAAGTGTACTTGCATATAATATATTGGCATATAACAAAAGCCGGTAAGAAATGACCCAACAATTTCTGTTTAGAAAAGGATACTTACCTCATTGCCTCTTTTTGAAATTTCTTATTTTCTTACTTGGTAATTGAACAAAAATGTAATAACGGTCATATTTAAAGATATAATTATGGAGGCAAAACTATTACTTTTCAGTCTTGAAAATTAAGTTTGACAAAGTATCTTTCAAGAAAATTAGAGAGTACTTGTAAAAATTATTGAACTACAATAAACAAAAACACACACATTATGGTAAACTTAGTAATGTCTATATATCTGTGTGATTCTATGAATTCATTGTTGTTGTTGTTATGTGTTATCCAGTCGTTTGCAACTCAGAGACCCTATGTACAAGAGCCCTAAACACCATTCTATCCTGTGCCAACATCGCCGTGTCAAACACACTCATTCCCACCACTCCACTCACAGAATCGATCCATCTCATCGAGGGTCTTCCTCTCCTGTGCCGTCCCTCCACTCTCCCAAACATGATGTCACTCTCTAAGGCCCAGTCCCTCCTTGTAACATGCCTAAAGTATGTCAGACAAAGCTTCAGAATCCTTGACTCCAAGGAACATTCTGGCTTCACCCTCTCCAGGATAAACCTGTTTGTTCTCCTAGCAGTCCATGGTATATTCAACACTCTTCTCGAGCACCACAGCTCAAAGGCATCAATTCTCTTTCTGTCATCCCTAGTCACTGTCCAACTCTCTGATGCATAGCACGTAACTGCAAAGACTATAGCCTGGACCAGGTGCACCTTAGTCTCCAGCCTGATGTCGTTGCTCTTCAGTATTCTTGAGTGGTCCCTCACGGCTGACTTTCCCAATGCAATTAATTCGTCTCCTGATTTCCTGGCTGCTGTTACCAAGACTGTTGACTACGGAGCCAAGAAAACGAAAACTGTTAACTATCTCAATCTCTTCACCATCCATACTGATGCTGCCAGTTGGCCCAGTAGTGAGAATCTTTGTTTTCTTGATGTTGAGCTTCAATCCATATAGGAGGCTGCAGTCCTTGACCTTCTGTAGAAAGTGCTTCAGGTCCTCATCAGTTTCAGTAAGCAAGGTTGTGTCATCTGCATAATGCAGGTTGTTGATGATTCTTCCACCAGTCCTGGTGCCACATTCCTCCTCATACAGTCCAGCATCTCGGCGATCTGTTTTGCATACAGATTGCAAAGGTATGGAGACAATACATATCCATGATGGACCCCCTTCTTGATTTTGAACCATGTAGTGTCTCCTTGCTCTGTTCTGATGACTGCCTCTTGGTGCAAGTATAGGTTTCGCATTAGCACGATCAAATGTTCTGGGATTCCTATTCGCCTCAGAGTCAGCCATAGCTTGTTGTGATCCACACAGTCAAAAGACTTGGCCTAGTCAATGAAGCACAGATAGACATTCTTCTGGTATTCTCTGCTTTCTGCCAAGATCCATCTAACATTTGCTATGATATCCCTAGTACCACGACCTCTTCTAAATCCAGCCTGCAGATTTTTCCATATTCAGAAAAATTAATGAGTGGAACAAAATAGAATTCTTAGTTGATAGTCAAAATTTACTTATCAATTGATAGTAGAAATTTATTTCCATTTACTCTTTTTTTAACATTTTATTTAACACTATTTTATTTATTCATCCAGTAATTTATTTATAATGTGTTTCATTCATGTACATTGTGCTTTACAATCTTTCGTTTACATTGTTTTCTACTCTTTCAGATACATTGTATTGTATATAATTACTATTGATCAATGCCTATTATTATGCTGTCTTAGTCTCCATTGACTCTTTTAAATTCCTTCACCCCAACACATTCTATAATCCTAGTGATTTCCACGCTTCCTCTTTTTCTGCCTCTTCCTCCCACCTTTCATTTTCCTTTTTTATGTTTACACACATCTTATTCTTCTTGTATTTATACAATAATGGCCTTATGCAGTGTTTGTCCATTTGAGACTGCTTTAGTTCACTCAGCATAATGCTCTCTTTATTCTTCCATGTTACATAGTAGTTTACATAATCATTCTTTCACAGTGCTAAATAGTATTTCAATGTGTGAATATATCACAGTTCTCAGTCCATTCATTTGCTAATGGTCTCTTTTGGTCTGTTTCCATTTTATTGCTTTAAATAAATTTTATTATTATAAAAAGTTGTAAATAATGCTGCTAGGAACATAGATGTACCTACTTCCATTCATGTCTCAATTAAATTTCCTTGTGGTATATTCCTGGCAGAGGAATATGGAAGTTCTATGTTCAGCTTTTTGAGAAGACATCAAATTGCCTCCCAGAATGGTTGTACCATTTTATAATCCCACCAGCAGTGCATAAGAGTTCCAATCTTTCTACATCCTCTCCAACTTTATGGCTTGCTGTTCTGTTAGACCCAAGTTCCAACTGGAATTATTGGGGAGATTGTATCTCACTGATGTTTTGATTTGCTTCATTCTGATTGCCAGTGATTTTGAACATTTCTTCACGTGTCTGTTGGCCATCTGAATGTCTTCTTTTGTGCAAAGTTTTTTCTTTTGTCCAATTTATTATTGGATTATCAGTCTTTATCTCATAGAGGCCATGTAGTATTCTGAAGTCTTTCATTATAAGACTCTGCGTTAGATGTCATTGCCAATATTTCCCTCAGTCTATATGTTTTCTTTTCACCACACAGGGACTTAATTTTTTTTTCTTTTTTTAAAAAAAGAACCATTCATTGATTTTGTCCAAACCTGATTGTGCATTTCTGGCTATATTTATGGGTCTACTTATGCCATAGGCTAGGCTTTCTAAATTTGGCCACATTTTGTCTCTTAGATCCTTGTGTATCTGGGAATTACTCCTACATCTCTGATCCACCTAGAGTTGATTTTTGTGTGTGATATGAGAGGTGGGTCCTCTTTCAGCTTTCTGCAGATAGATGTCCAGTTTTGCCAGATCATATGTTGAAGAGCTTATTTTCCCCATTTAATATGTTTTCATTCCTTATTAAATATCAATTAAGTGTAGATAGATGGGTTAATTTTTGGGTTCTCAATTCTATTCCATTGATATACATGCCTGTCATTGTACCAATATCATGATGTTTTGATTACTATGGCTGTGTAATAGGTTTTGAGATAAGGGAGTGCTATGCCTTCTACTTACTATTTGTTTTTTAGAAGAGTTTGTTTTATTTGCTTTATTATGTTCTCTTTAATTTCCAAATAAACCTTACAATAGCCTCTTTGATCTCTTTGAAAAATGAGTTTAGTATCTGTATTGAGATTACATTGAACATACTGACTGTTTTTGGTAGGATTGCCATTTTTACTATGCTGTGTCTTCCTATCCATGATCAAGGATAATTTTTCCTTTTAGTTAGGCCTCCTGTTGCTTCTTACAGTTTTTGTATAAAAATCATTTGTGTCTGTTGTTATTATGTGCTATTGAGTCAAGTCAACTCATAGCAATACTATGAACAAAAGATCTGAACCCTGTTCTATCCCGTGCTATCGTCACACTTCCTGACACTCAAGAGCCCATTGCTGCAGTCACTGTGTCAATCCACCTGGTTGAGAGTCTTCCTCTACAGCCAACCCTCCATCCTTCCCAGCATCATGTCCTTCTCCAAGGTATAGCCCCTCCTAGAAACATGCCCAAAGTATGTAAGGTGAAGCTTCATTCTTGTCTTTAAAAAGCACTGTGGCTGCACCCTTTCCTAGCATGTTTGTTTGTTCTTTTGGCCATCCATGGGATGTCCAGTACCAAGGGTGTTAATTGTATATCCAAGTAAGAAGAAGCTGTTGATAGCTTCAGTTTCCTCTCCATCCACTATAATGTTGCCCATCTATCCAGTGGTAAGAATCTTTGTTTTTTTTTTTTAACATTGAGATGCAATACATACCAAAGACTGCATTCCTTGATCTTCTGCAACAAATTGTTCAAGTCCTTTTCACTTTCAACAGGCAAGTTTGTGTCATCTGCATAACACAGGTTACTGATGAGGCTCCTTCTAATCCTGATGTCCCGCTCCTCTTCACAGAGTGCAGCTTCTCAGTGACAACTTGCTCAGCATACAAATTGAATAGTTATGGAGAGAGAATACAACTGTGATGCCTTACTCCATTGTTTTTCTGTTTTCTATACCATTGATTTTAGACCTTTCCTTATCATTTCTTTTCTTCTAGATGCCATATGTTAGTCTGCTGTTCTTTTTCTACTTGCTGAAGGTGTTGAGATAAGTAGTTTCCTTTGCTCCTTTCTTCTTTTTTTTAAAACAATTTTTTTTTCTTTTCTTATGTTTGCCTGTTGCTACTAATTGCCCCATCAGGACTGTTTTAGCTGTATCCTAGCTGGTTTGATGTTTGGGGATTTTTTTTCCTTTTTAGGATTTTTTTTTCTTCATTTTCCTTCTATCTTCTGTTTTTTAATTCTAGTAAATTCCCATTAAGGTTCTTTTCTACTGGCTCTCTGTTCCATCTCTTTTATTCTTGTCCCTGCAGCATGTTGGGAAATCTGCCATTACAGTCTTGATATTTGGGATTTCATTTTCATTCATTTCTGTTATTTCCAGTAATGGGTTGATTGTACCCTCTTTGTCTTATTATGGTATTTTTTAAAATTCTTATACCTTTTTATGTTTGGTTTTAGTTCTTTCTTCCAGTATTTGTACCTTCTTTGATTGTTCATGTTACTCTATGGTGATATGTATTTCTTCTAGCTCCCTGTCTCTGGGATTTTGTTTGGGTATATAATCTGTCTGATCTTTTTTTGCAGAAGACTTGTTTTGTCTTTGCAGAATTTTTGAAGCTGTCTTCTGCTTTTTTGACATTCTATGAAGTTCTTAGAGTGTGTGAAGCAGTTGCTGGTTTTTTCTGTGTAGGTTATGAATGTATCTTATCTTTATGATACTACTAATAAATTGCATACTTAGAGTGTTCCTCCA